GGGCCTGCGGGGCGGGGAGGCCCGGCGTCCGTTGGGCCGAAGCGCCCCGGCCGCGCCCGGTGAGCCAGCCTCGGTCGCCGCTGGAGGAGCGCCGCGGCCCTGCGGGCTTCTTTTATTTCATTTTTTTTTTTTTTCTTTCCCTCTTCCTTATCGCTTAGCACAATAAAGGGGAAGCGCGGCCCCGGCGCCAGTGTGGCCGCCGCGGAGGGCCGCGGCCGGGCGGGGCGCACTTCTTGCCGGGCGCCGTGGTGTGGGTGTTTTTTTTTTTTTTTTTTTTTTTTTTTTTTTTTCCCGTCGTGCCGAGTAGCTTATAAAAATGCGTCACGGCACGGTGCGGCTGGGGCCTGGGCTGGTCGGGTGGCTCGGTTGGGGTCTGCGCGGCGGCCTGAGGCGTTCGGGGGGATTCCTCCTGCCCGCCGCCCTGAGCCAGTTCCTCCTTGGGAGCGAAATGAATGCGGAAAAGGGCGGCTTCTCCTCCCAGCTCGGGTGAGAAGTGTTCGCGGTAGCTTCATCCACCTTTTTGCCAGCGAAAACGTAATAATAACAACAGGAAACATGGAGTAAATGGGCTGCTAAAATGCATGCCTAATCCCGTTAAGGAGGTGTTTGAATTTTGCTGGTTAAAGCTGCCCCACTGCTTGAACGATAAGCTAGCCACGACTAGCTGCAGTTATAGCAAATGTGAAAAAATGTAATGTTAATACATGCTGTTCTAACTGCTTTTTAAATATTTTTGTTTTCTAGTGAAAAGATCAAGAGGCAACAGTCAAGATCATACAGGGAGAGTGCAGAAACGCAGTTTTGCATAAAAGTCTGTGATAACTGATTGAGAAACAATTGCGTCACTTGCCTTCTGACACTCTTTTGCAATAAAAAGGCTGTGTAGTGCGGGCCATCTGCTGTTAAATCCGCACAAATAAAGAGTGGTAAGTTTCAAGAAGAAAAGTATTATGCAGCTGTGAATTCAAGAATTACTATTTCAGTGTTTAGAGCGTGGAGGAGTTTATGGTTTCTTTTATTAAAAAGTAATGCTTGAATTAGAGGAACATCAGTATGTGGATGTTTTTGTTAATAATGACCTTCTTTAACAGGAAGAAGTGCTCAGTTAGGTTTAGTAAGAGGGCATATGCTGACCTTAACTAGTACATGCCTGCATTTAAGGGCTTGTTTGTACTTGACTATTTTCTTGGCTTCAGAATGGGTGTGGAGATGAAGTGCATAGTTACTCTGAGTAACACCATGCATGGATGCTCTAATTACGGCATATGGCTCTCCTGTGTCAGGTTAGCCTAATCCATTTTCAGAAGCAGTGCTCTGAACTGTTCCCATGTGGGAAGGCCTTTAAGGTATTACAAACACTCTGTATTTATTGTATTATGTGAATGTGGATTTGACCAGCCAGTATGTAAAATATTACATAATTTCTTGGATGGAAATGCAAATTAAAACTTCAACAGTCAAGTATGTGAATAGAAGGAGCAACACTGGATGTAAAAAATTGGCAGTGGTGAATGGACAGCTGTGTGTAGAAGTAGATGCAAAGTATTTTGCAAATGAAACTTTTTTCTGCACTGATTTATATTGGTTGGATGACTAGGGGAAAAAAGCTTAAAGGATATCAGAATCAACAAGGAGTACATACCTCTTCATGAAAGTGTATCCACTGGCTTAGTAATAGCAGTAAAAGGTCATTATTTGTTGCGAGCTTACTGGTGGTGAGTGAAATGTGTGTATGGAAGAGGCAAAAGAGAAGACAGAAAAGGTGCAGAGAAATACACATTTACCTGTACTGTGCCCTTGTCCCTCTCATTTTTCTTGTTCTTTAGCACATAGGAAGTACCACTACTGGTTTTCAGCTGTAGAATTTGTGGTACAAGTAAATCAAGTTTTAATTTGGCTAAAAGGGGAAAAAAAAAAAAACATCTGAGGGATTGTACGAAACATGTTGAAGCCTCTATCTTTGTTGTCTCGTTCTTAACTGTTTTAGAACATGGACGTTCTGAATTACTGAGTTATTATATCTAGGTATTTCAGAAATAAGGGTAAGGTATAGGTGACTTAAAAGCTGTCTAATTTTCTAGTGCTTTGGACAGTGGGAAAACTTTGTGGACTACTACAATTTAAGAAAGTGAAGATGACTTCTAGTCATAATCCCCTATGCCATATGTCCTTTTTATCTCCATTGCTTTAGCAGTGACAAGTCAGAACTTAAAATTTCTAAGTTCTGAATTAATAACATTCAAAGATGTTCACCCCGCTGTATGTTTTTAAAGTAATTAGTCTCAAGGTTAAGAGTCTTTATCTTCTTGTTCCTCCCCTGCATCTTTTTCAGCTGAAGGAGTGCAGTAAACTGACCCTGTGCAGCTGTATTCTTCGAGAAAGGCGGAAGACAGTTTGAACCATGGCAAGCCAGGTAAGATCATTTGGTCAGAAATTCAGGCTTGCAGTGCCTAAATGGATTCCAGAACCATACTCAGAATTCCTAGTAAATGTAAAGCTGAAATAGCTAGCTTGCTCTGAGTTGGGTGTTCTTTCAGTCCTACGATTTCTTCTGGTAATGTGGTAATTGGTGGCTGTCCTCTGGACACTTAAATCGTATCAACTGAAGCAGGTTGGGGGCATAACATTAGGTTTTGCAGTTTGGATTTATTTGAGCATGAGTTCTTCTGAAGGACCTTGCGTATAACACTCTCTATATAAGATATATGTAGAGGTGTTCTAGAGGAAGAACATTAAAGCCTGCGTAAGTAAAAAAACATTGCGAAACACCATTCTTATTTTTGGAATTCCTTGTTCTTCAGAATCTTAAGTGAGGGAGGCAACCTGTGTTAATACAGCTGTTGTTTCCCTCCTCTTTTGTGTAGTTGCCCCACTTCCTTTTTAAGCTGTGGTTTTTGGGGTTTTGGTTTTTCTTTCCCTTTTTTTTTTTTCCCCAAGAGGCACTTTTTATGCCTCTTTCTTCCTGGCCTTGCATCTGGGTTTGAGTTTTCCCTCAGCCAAGCTAGTGCCTGTTCCTGGTCTGCTTTCTCCTTACGTTCCATTAATCGGCCTCCTGTTGTTGTTCCTGGCCTGGGAGAGTGACTCACAGCTGGGTAGTGAGGAGAGGCATCTCACGTAAGAAGAAGAATTCCTAGTTGAGGGGAGATAGGGACAGCTGAGATCCCTTTAAGGCAAGAGTGATGATTTCCCTGCCTCTTCATCACTCAGACTGCTGCTGCAGGGTTTTTTGAGTCCTGGAGCTCAAGTGGAACACAGTCCAGTCCTGAAGCTAATTAACATTTAGGATTGGCCAACATCGAAGGGCTATCTGCTTTTTCCCTGATTCCAAGAGGAAGCTGTCAATCCTTTAGCCAGCTTGACAAGTCAGGGGAATATGGCTGTTCATACAATCCTTTGGCTCTGTTATTTTTGCCAGGCGTTTTCCCCAGAGGCTGCTTTCCCTCATGGGAGGCGGAGGGAGAAATGGGACCCCAGGCTTCTTTCAAGGGCAAGGTGAATATGGGGAAATCACCTGTGGTGATGGGGAGTGGGAGGGAGGAATGTAAATGAGGCTAAATACTATAAAGGTGATTTTTTCTCCCAACAGGACTTGATGGCGAAAAAAAGAGAATGTCTCCAGGCCTACAGCTGGTGGAGAACACCACAGAAGAAACGGAAGAAAAAGAACAAAATAAAACCAGGAAGAATAGAGTTTGTCCCTAGTAGTAGTTCAGCCAGGTAAAGACCTTTCGAAAGCAGAAGTTCTGACCCCTTACCTGTTTAAATTGATAGTGGCCAGTGAATGCCATCGCTTATTTTTAAAATCCTGAAATGGCACATCTGGTGCCTATACACTTAAGTATTATTGCTTTTGGAAATTTATTGCCAGTAGAATAGTGAAAGTTTTTTGTAGTTTGTCTCTTGCATAATAGCTGAGAAGTGGTGGCAAAATAGTCATAGCTCTTTTGAATCATGGCTGTAACCTGAGTTAATAGTTTTTCTTCGTATTTGTGTGCATCCTTCCCCCCCTATCCCCCTCATTCAGACAATAAATATTTCCTTTTGAAACCAACTTCTAAAAGTTTTTTTTTTAATAAAATGGGTCTTTGTTGAAATGCTTTTTTTTGTTAAAGTGGTAGAATGGACCCAGAGAAATTGAGAACTTGATGCTGGAGTGATGGCATTGCAGTCTGTACATTACTCAGCAGAGTTTTGCAGTTAATACTGTTTTCAGATTTTGTTGTCTCATTTGTCCAGTGATAACTACCTGCTTATATGTTTGGTACCTTAATACTGCCATCAGCTACCTTAGTCTGAAACTTGACAGTTCTTCTCTTTTATCTTTTTAAAGACCAGATTATTCTATATTTGTTGGGGAACTTACTCCAGAAGTGGATGATTTCCAGCTCTATGACTATTTTCTAAAGAGGTACCCCTCATGTATTGACTGCAAAATAGCAACAGACCTGCTGGGATATTCCAGGTAATGCCTGTGAAAATTCATAATGCTGTCAATATGCTTGCTTCTGTAAGTAATATAAGAACTTGTGTTGGAACTGTTTCTGCATTTTCTTCAGAGGCAGGAAGAGAGAGATTAGTCTCTAGCATTAGTTTTGTTGTTTTTTTTAAACAGCACAGATCCTTTTGTTTCTAAAACTTACTGGTTAGTTTAAGCAATTAATCTAATAAGCTTCAATTTAACCATATGCATATCTGCATGACAGAAATCAGATGGTGGGAGAAAGGAGAGCTGTGCACTGAAATCTGTGCTGCTGGGCTTACATACAGCAGTGTGTCCACTTAGTCATCTGCAGTACTGAAGACAAAATAATTTCCTTTTTACATGTGGGAGAAAAGCGTAAGGCCTGGCAAATCTTAGGGGGTTGGGAGACTGAACCTATTAATATTAGTAAATAAAGCTAAGGTGAAGTTATATTGGCCAGGCAGTGAGTCAAGCAGGGATGAATGAGTTAGCTGTTCAGACAATGCTGGCTGTAATAGACTAATTCAAGAAACTTAAGAGAAAGCAAGTATAAAAAGAATGTTAGTGCTGTACAGTGGTAGGAGTGGGTTAATACTAACTGATAAATTAACTGCTGTAAATGCAGAAATATGGAGTCTGATTACTTACACAGATAGCAATTAAAATGTATTGTTTTTCTGGCTCTCAGCAAGTTGCATCTTAATGCTATCAAAGAACAAGCTTTTTGCTTCTGGCCCAAGTTTTTAATTTGGTGAAAGCATCTTCTGTGCATGTGCACATGCCAGAGAGGTAATAGAAGCTATAGTAGCTACTATCTTCTGGTTTTGTAGAAGACAGAAATTGAATTCGTTAGCTTTGTAACTGTTATGCATACTAGAATTTGTTTTCTCCCTTTTGAAAATTGTAGAGGGTATGCCTTTGTCAGATTTGGTGAGCAAGGTGATCAGATGAGGGCACTGCAAGACTGCCAGAATGCACCAGGTCTGGGGGGAAAACGAATCCGGCTGAGCATAGGAATTTCTAAAAGGTAACAAATGAGTTGTGCATTGATACAGTAATTCTAAATAATCAGATTCTTGTAGCTCTGCCTTTGTAAAGTCTGTGGCCCTTGCTATAATGGCTGTACACATGATGCAGTCTACAAAACCAAAAATACAGAAGCGTTATGTTTTGACTCCCTGGATTCATCAACCTCTTTCAGGATTGCTGGGGGAATCCAACTCTTAAGTCTAGCCAGATTGTTTAACTTGGGCTTAGCTGCTGTTGTAACCAGCCTTAATTCTTACAGTAGTGAAGCTGAATGCATTCATAAATATTTTCCACATTTGGGCCTGAAGAAGAGGTAGAAGGGACAACAAGTGATTTTGTATGCTAGGAAGCTTTTCTTCTAGACCTTTCCCCCTAGTTTAGGCAAGGTAGCATGTTGCTAGTTTTACAGTAGGCTGGCAGAGGAAGGAACTCTTAAGTGGAAAAATACAGAATATAGTGGGGAGGAAGCCAAAGGAGATGTTGCTGGAACAGTTTGTTTAGAATGCTATTCTTTGCTTTTCAAGTGATTGGGGCAGCAGGGAATTTAAAGTTGATTGGTTTTGCAAGGGTTTTTTTACTCTGCCAGCTCAGTTCTCTTGGTCAGTTAAGGCAATTCAAGTCTCTGAACAGTTAGAGAATTGGTGCCAAATTTGATAAACTTTGATCCAGGATACAGACTAAAATAGAACTTTATATAAAACAATTTCAGTATATTCATGAGGCTAGCTTTTATGTTCTGTTAAATAGTAAAAATAACAGCTTTTGTTTGTCTTCACCCTGGATAATTCTGCAAATGTTGCCTCTTTGCTTTAGAATGGAAATGCTCTTACCCAAGAGAGCACTGTCCAGAATTGCTCTGACTAAACTATTTTGAAAACAAGAAGAGGTCACAAAGAAACAGGTTTCCTCACTTCTGCTACCCAGAAGAGTGTCAGCAGTATTTGCAGATTTTTCTTTCCTACAGAGATGTGTGTAGGAGAAAAGTTGGAAGCAGAAGACTTTGAGATGTTACGTAGTCATTTGATTACTGCAGTAGCAAGACAACAGAACACCTCTTTATTAGAATGTGTGTGTAACTTTACAGTACTGAAACAAATGCAATACAGGTATTAAAATACACATCACTAATCTGTATCTCCTTCTGAATGGCTGAGTACTATGTTCTTCTAGCATCAAAATATCCAGCCATCAGAGTAGTTTCTCATCAATTCACTTGTACTGGGAACTATTTCTGAGCTACTTCAGTTTGTGTTCTTGACAAAAAGCCTAGATCTGACTTGTGTAATGAAGTGGAGATGCAGAGAAGTTGGACTCTGCAAAAACAGCAGGTGTGCCTGTATATAATCAGTGAAGAAATATCTAAGCATAGAGGACTTCTTGAATGTGCAGCTGGGTTATCTGAATGTATTTCATGTAGTGTACCTCTGTTATTGTACCTCTGTCTTAGCACAGACAACACTTGTGCATTGATTCTTGTCATTAGTGTGAAGTTGTCCCTCAGAAAAATCTACTTGGGAGAGGGAAGGTAGTAAAAACTAATCAGCTGGCCCTTTGGTCTTAAGAACCAATGAGTTTTGTCATTTTCCTGCTGCTTTGGCTTCACACTGGATAATGGCAGTGCTGACTTCACCTGACAGCTACAATTCGGCAACTGTTCATGGACTAAAAATTGAGCAGGTGGAGGTGGTCATGGCAAACTGGCAGGCAGTGTCAGATGCTCCTCTGAAACAGACAATCTGACTTCACCCCATTGCTTCTGGAAATAGTAGTATTTAGTATTAACCAAACAAAAGATAGAAGGGCTAAATAAGACTGAATACATCTTCAAAGCAGCTGTGCTTGATGAATGTCTCTGGTCTTAATAAATTAGTTTTTATCAGCAGCTTGCTTATACAGATACTAAAAATACTCAATACAGATAAGTGTTGTGGCTCAAGTTAATCCATGAAAATAATTACTTTTGGTATTGGTGAAGGTGAGAGCATTTGCTTCTGTATAAACATGAGATCTTAGACTGTTGCTTAGGCAACTGTTCAGAAAAGCTTCCTTTTAAACTTTGAAATGTGTAAGCTGGCAAATTGCTCAGCTTCAGAACTGGGTTTACAGTTTATTGTTCTCAAACTCTAACTGTATATAACTTCTCATGTTTCAGACTGAAAGCAGAATTCCAGCGGTACCAGTCGTACAACTATAATGATTATTACCAAGATTATCAGAACTACTACTCACAGTGGGGTTATGATCCTTATGCTGACTACAACTACAGCTCCTATGCTCCCTATGATAGCATGCAAGCTGTTGGAGACTGCTCTTTAGGAGATGCTGTTATGGCTCCAGCTGTTTTTGAGGTAAAGATATTGCATACTTCCTTTAAAGAAAAAAAAATCACAAAGAATAAATTGTATGAATTGTGTGAGTTGGCAAAAAGTCCTAAAACTGAAATCATGCTTTCTGCTTAGTGTGGAAGTTAGAATAGCAGGCTTTGTTCAGAGGTATCTTTAAGTGCTTTAGTGCATCTATAGAATTAGAGATTTATATGCCATTATTTGTTCATGTATGCCAAATAACAGTTCTGACAGCGTAATTGTGGAGACTTCCTCACTTCCTTTTTTTCTGATGTACTTTTCTTAAAGCAAATTAGAGAATTAATGTGAGATGGTCTTATCTTAGATCAGCCAATTTATCAATTACAACTTCCTTCCAACCTGAACTATACTATGGTTTTCTTAAAAAAAACCAACCAAACAAACAAAAACCCCACAAACCCCACCAAACACAAACCCCCCCCCCCCAAAAACCAACAAAACAAACGAACAAACAAAAAACCCACAAAACCCAACCAACCAAAAATGCCAAACAAAAACCCCCAACCCTCTGCAACAAACACAACCCCCCCACCTATTCTTGTAGTTGTGGGAGGAGGGAGTGGTTTGGGAGTACAAAATCACTTTGGATTTGTGATGCTTTCTGAAATGAATTATGATTAAACATATGAGATTTTATTTTCTTTTTTTTTAGGAAACTTCAGCTATGACTGAAATCAGTGATGACCTAATAACTGAAGGTAATGATGATTCTATCACTGCAACTTTTAATTAACCATACTTGTGCCCTTTAACAATACAAGCCAGTGACTATTGGATGAAGAATGTCCTGGAAATTCAGCTGATGTAGTGAGATCCTCTATAGGTTATAGCTGAGATGAGGTAGGATTTCAAAGCTGATAGTGTACACCATGTCAAGTAGAATGGGACCCTGTCAACAACACTTCACAGTAAGCTTCTTTTAACTTTGCCTTCATTCTCCTTCCAAAATGGTCTAATACAGAATTTCTCTTATCTTTGTATGGAGTCTGCTAAGCATATTCTGTGTTAAACTCATTAATAGGCAAAATCGGTTTTCCAAACCCTGAGGTAAAAGCTTATATTGCGGACTCTAAAAGGATGATTCAACTTGCACTTAAAGATTTGGTATAAAACTTAATTGTTTGGCCTGGAAGGTTTGCAGACAGTTGATCTCATGGAGACATCTTGTTTTAGTGTTCAGAAATCTTATCCTGCTTAACACATACTGTTGTAGAAATGAGTTAAGTGGATTTTGGGAGAGTTTTATGGTTAATCAGCCTTAAATCTGTTCTTTTTTGTCAGGTTTGTTAAAATTCTAGGTGAATAAACAGTTTATTACATTTACTATTACACTATTAAACTTAGCTAAAACATTTTATTAGGCATTTACTTCAGGTTTTTGTGTGCATGCCTTCCAGGATCTGCCACTTGTATTTACCAGGCTTTTATTTTCAGATCCACAGCTTTACTTGGATGTTGATGAAATGAACAGACAATTTATGGAGACAAGTGAAGAACTCTATGATTCCCTCATGAATTGTCACTGGCAACCTCTGGATACGGTCACTTCTGACATCCCCCCTGCTATTTAAGTGTCTTATATAGCATGACCGTTATGACCAAGGTGCTAAAATTACATTTCTTCTACATTACTCTAGATCATAAGTTTTAAAGCACAATGATAGGTTGGGGTTTTTTTGCTATGCTTTTGACAGTTTCTGTAATCTTTTTTTTTTGTTCATCACTCGGAGCATCTTGAAATCATGTAAATATTCTAGAAATGTAAAGAGTTCAATGGGGTCTAAAGATAGACTTGCCTGTGTAAATAAAATTTTGTTTCTGCAAACTTGCCAGCAAGGGATTTTACTTACAATGTGAAGCACATTCTCTTCTGGCTTGTGGAATTTAGCTGGAGGTAGTAGGGGTATTTAACCTGTCTCTTGTTTTGGTATGGGCATCAGGACACTAGCAAAAACTAGCACTCGCATATTTCCAAGTTACCTAGGCCATCTTTTATAAGCTCTTAACACTCTTGCTTAGATTATGTGTGTATTTGGGAGACACTCCCAGGGTTTGCTATGGGAACACTTAGGTCCACTCTTCCTCCTGCAGTCTCCTGGAACTAACTGTACTACTGTCGATCTGCTAGGTCAGTTAGAATTGCTTTATCAATACAGTATTCTAAACATACAGAAGGGCAGATTTTCAGCTACCATAGCTGCAAACATTCCAAATAGTAAGGATGATCCCTAGTAACAGTTTTATTCCTGTCCTTCTTATTGTTAGTCTTCTCACCTGACACTTCACAGCAAATAAACTGGTGTAAGAATACATTTTCTTAAACTGAAAAATCCTTGGAGAAAATAACTTTGTGGTTTGAAGGAGGAAAAATAACCCATTGGGAATAAAAAACTATCCCAGTAACAACTCTTCAACTAAGTTGCACCCTGTCCTAAACATCTCTAACTTGTTCAGTCTTCATGCTGAGGTGTTTTATTAGTGATGAGGTTATAAATTTTTAGTAGGATGACAGTTTTCAATATTCAAGTCACAGGAGATGAGGGGAGGTAGCAATGAGGAAAGTTCTGCTTTAGGCTAGCAACTTCTGAGTGGCTTCCTCTAAACTGTTCTCATCTTGAGGGGTACAAAGTATCTTCCAGTTATAGGGACTACTTATGCTCCTGTGTATGCAAAAGTATTTACCACTTAATGTACATAATGATAACATAAGTTAGGCTGGAAACAGAAAAATACTCTTCCAAGAAAAAAGGTAGCAGAAATTACCATAACTAATAGTTGTGGAAGCTACTAAAGCTAGTCAAGACACTTTGATACTGCTGTGTGTGTTTTGGAGGCAATCTAAACCATAATTGCTATGATGGCAGATAGGAATAAAGTTCCTTTTTTTTGTGACTTAATGTGATTAAAGTGGTGGTCATAAACTATATGCTGATCTTAAATTTAAAGCAAATACTGTATTGCAGAGTGATGAGTCGATGCTGGCAGGTCACTTCTAGCTGCTGACCACAATCTCCATCTTTTCTCTTCACAGTTTAATTTCAGCTAGGAGTATTTTCAAAGTCCTGTCGGTGAAATGCAGATGCTCTAAAACAGAAAGGGCTTTTGGAGTACTATAGGAAGTTCATTCTTCCTGGATTTTGTGCAGAAGTACATGTAGGAAGAGACAGAAAGCAAAAAACCTCATCTAGGCAGGGGGAGTAGCTTTACAGTTTTAGCAACAGTTTCCCTGCTTTAGGGAGAGCTACTTGCAAGGTAGCTGGGAACTAGTTTCTTTGGGTGAATGTTTTCCTTGTGTGAACTGGTGAGGCTTTGGATGGTGGTGGTAGGGAGATTATTAATGAGAATGTGACAAAGTGGAAGCAGAATAAATGAAGCAAAGAGAATCTGGGTGGGAAAGGGGGTACTTGTGTGCATGTATAGAATTGTTTCAGAAGACTGCAGTAGGGAGGAAACTCAAGATAGTAGATGCAGGCCCCTGGAATTTGGGTCAGAGTGTTAAAGCTTCAAAATGGTACAGGATTTGATGCCACTTCATTTGTAGTGCATAGCTGTGGTGCTTGAGCTTCGTAGTACAAACTGGTCTGCTAAGCAAAGGATTTGGTATCTAGGAAGCACCATCACCACAAGCAGCAAGACGGGTTCCAGGTCTCTGCCTGGGTTATATCCTGCTTTGAAGTGGCTTGCATAGCATCGCCTAAGACTGCACTTAAATTGCAGCAAGTAATTTGTGGAAACCTTTTATTGTGTTATCAGTTAAAAATGTGATGCTAAGGATGTGTGTTGGCTCAGCAGTAATACTGTGGAGTATCTATGCTGATTTTTGGTGTGTGGGAGGTTGATCTATGTGTGAACTATGTAATGAGGGGCCCACGTAGCTATGTGATTTCACTTAGTCTGACACTGTATCACCACAGTACATAAACCTCAGAAAAGTCACAGTCTGTAGCCATCCCATTTATGCATATTTTATCTGTTAACAAGGTCTCTATACTCTGCATTAGAGACTGTTTTCAGACATGCATGCGCCTTCTGTTCTGGACTGTAAAGTACCCACATAGTGAAAATAACTGTTTGTGTTATGCAGTGAAAGAGGTTGTTTGGGCCATTAGTTCTCCAAACCTGAGAAATGTTGGGGGTGTATTTTCTTCCAGTGAACAAACAAGAAAAATGAGGTGAGGAGGAGAGTCTGTTGGTTACAGCCCATGTGATACTGTTCTAAAATAGCTCTGTGACCTCTTTTTCTGTCTCCTGAGCCTTACTAGCCTATTCCCCTTTCCAGTTAGGAGTGCATACATGGGATCAAGATGGTGTGGGCAGTGCATGTTCTTTACTGTAAAGGCATACAGAATGCACACTTCTGTATTGGTGTGTTACCCATGAACCCCAAATACAGAAAAGAGTGCATCAGGACTGTTAGAATGCATTGCTGAGACTTTTTGCTGAGTAAACTTGGAGCTGTTCTATAACTACCCACCTGCATTAGGTAGCTCATGCAAAGACCTGAACACATCACACAGCTAGCTGCCTGCCATCAGTTCTACTAAGATCTGATTGCAGTGGGAGCATTTAAAAAAAGTCTTAGAAGCAACTTTTCAACACAACACCATTTCACTTCTTTCAGTTGTGTTTTGTCTCTGTTCTACCCAGCTGAAATGTGGTGGGGTTTTTTATAAGCTTGATAAAGGCTTGGTTGTTTTTTTTTTTTCAAGAGTATCTAGTATTGGTTTTATAAACTCTTCATTGCACCTAGCTGCAATAGATAGTGCCTTTACTCAAAACCTGCTGATTTTTTCAAGAGTAGTAATGTTTTTGTTTTCTATCACTTCTCTGAACAGAAAGGCTTTATTATGATGGTTTGAGGGGCTACTAATCCTGCAGTCAGTGAACAGGGAGAAAGAAACAGTCCAAAAATGGTAAAGAGTACTTGAAAGGGTACAAAAAGGTTAAATGGTACTTAAGCCATGAATGTTTCTTTTTGCAGGGATGCTCTTGGACCAACAGCTTCTTTCTAGCGCTACCTCAAAGTAACTTGCAGATATAACTCACAGGGAAGATTGATCAAATGGTGATGATCCCTATCATTCTGCTGGATATATATATATTTGCCTTTTGTTTTGTCTCATTTTTAATAACATTTATTTAACTTCAGTGACTCCTGTCAATAGACATTGTTTGACTACATCGACAAGTATTTCTGAGTCATGAGTGTCATTAAAGGCATGTCACCATATGGAAATTGTTCTAAATAAGTAAAATGGAAGTAAAATAAGTAAATAAAGCAGCACTTGAATTTACAGAGCAAACATAGTGTAGCTGCCTTTGACACACACGCGGAAGAGAAAAATCATGTTTAGAGGTTACCTTTAATATACTTAGCATGCATCAGAAAGAGGGAATCTTGTTTTAAATTTGCCCAGCTCTTCCGTGTCCAGTGCAGGAGTGATTTTAGTCAGTTCCCTACGCAGGCACCATTTTAGAAGTCAGCATTATTACCGACGAATGTCTGTTGCTGAAGGGCACAGTCTATGTCCCTTTGTAAATCTTGTTCTTCACATAATGGGAATGCATCATGATACCCTTTCTTCCCCAGCCCTCAGTTGGAATTTAGTGCGGTAAATGTTTCCTGGACAAAAGGAGTTACAAGTCCAGGCTAAAAGGCTCTTTTTCTTTTGATTTTTGAATTTTGATGATTCTGTTGATCTTTTTTGACAAGCATATGGTAGAAATAGAGCTTCATCCTGAAACTGGTCTGCAGCTGTAACACATCAGCGGTTTACATGAGATGAGGTGGTTCTTGCAAGTGACTTCAAAACCCTTGTGTTCCATGTCCTGGAAGGGATTATCTGTCACTGCAAGTCATTCCACTGCATGTAAAACTGTATGTATGGTGCTAGGGTAGGGGAGGAAGAGACTGGAGTTCTGAAGGTGTAGTTCATGAGGAGAAATACCTGGAAAGTAATTCCACTCTGCTGGGATTTTGGAAACGGGTCTCTTTCAGATAACTATGAAAGCAGGACTAAGAAATTGAGGAGGAGCAAGTCATGTAGGAGAGCTGGGAAGATACCAATGAGGTTTGAAAAAACCCAGTATAAAACAAGAACCGGGCAGTACAGAACTCTGCAGTAACATTCCCTCTAAAAGGGGTTCCTGCTCTGCTGTTGCTGCTAGTTTACATTTCTTCAGGCCTTCAGCATGGCCCTTGCTGGTTTGAGTTCCCCCCAACCCGCTGAGTTTGATACACTTTTTCTTCAGGTGCATGCTTTTATTTTTGGTGGAAGGCGTGTGCACTACCTCACAGCTCTGTCTTTCACTGTTAAGTACCTGTCTCCCGTTCTATGTCAGTAATTTTTTAGTATGTTCTGGGGTTTTTTTAGGCCGAACATTTCTATTGACTCCTACATAGGGAAGGTGGTTGCAATTTTCTGCTCTGCTCCATCGTGCCCAGGGCAGATCAATGCTCTAACTCAGATGTAGAGCCATAGATTTTTCTCAACTGCTAGTCGAGTAAAAGCCGACACCTAAAATATTTTACATTTTTTAATTTGCGATAGAAATGCACTTTTCCTCTTGTTTTAAGGAAGAAAAAGCCGCCTTGGAGCTTTTTTCCCCCTGCCTGCTTCCACTCTGCCAAACGGGAGCGACGGCAAACCCGCAGGCCGTCACTTCTATCGCTTGCGCGACCCCGGGCGGTAGCGGCGCCCCGAGGGAACACCGCGTACCGCTGCCCACCCGCTGTTTTTCAGGCTCTCCCGCCGCCTTCCCGCGGGGGAGGCTCCCGTTACAGGGTAGGTGAGCTGTGTCCCCGGGGCGACAGCACCGCGGGAAGAAGAGAGAAGGCGGAGGAGCCGCCGCCGCCTCCGGGGC